TAACGTGAAACCAATCAAAGAGACAACAGAGGGGAATCTAAAAATACAAAGTGCCATGGAGCACCAGAAAGTCTACTGGACACTTTATGAATCGATTTTCCGGTTAAAATAATCCACAAACTTCGGCATTTCTTTTTCCTCATCTCCAATGTTTACTCTGAACTCATTTGATTGAGAGGTCTCGTGAGATTTCTTGTCTATCTGAATGTTTGTAAGTGAAATCTGTTGCTCTGTGGCTGTACAGCACACACTGTAGAAACCACGTRAACCAGGCATTACAGAAGTGGGTAAAGGCAGCTGCTCAACCTCTCCAAACAGTTTTAAAAGTCTAAATCCTTTTTGTCCGCTGGGCTAGTCGGGGGTCAGTGAAGTGACTCAGTTCCAGGAGACCAGAAATCTGTTTCCACCTAACTGAAGTATGGGGACAGCATCATCAGATTTTACTGCACTGCTTGTTGCACTTCACAAAACAGATGCATCATGGGGAAAATAAAAAAAAAAAGGAAAAAAAAAGGAAGAAACATCAAGGAAGTTGAAGCTTGGACACAGATGAGTCGTCAGCTTCCCATTGTGTCCACAGGTCAAAGTTAATATTTTTAAAGCCCTGACTAACTGCATAAAGATTTAGTGGGAAGCACTGAAAGAAAAAGGCAGCAAACAAACCTGAACGGTCATTTAGACTTTATCAAAATAATTTTAGTAATCGTTAGTGATCTGAAACAGGAAGGTCTGGTCCCATTTATGGTCATTTTATACATTGTATGTAAACATCTGGTCCAGACTGTGGATTAAAAACAAAAGAAACTAACAGCTTTCTATAATTACTGCTGATCTTAAATGAAAATCATGTCCACAACTGTAATAAAATATAAATCTGATTCAATGACAGGTTCTAATAAATAAATAAAAAGACAGAGTTCAAGAAGTTTGAACAGGCATTTATTTACCAGTCAAAGTTCACACAAACACAGCCACTGCAAAAAACTAATAAAAAARCTAATTTTTTTCCAAGAAACTTAACAAGTTATTTGTTCGTTATGAAACAAAGGTGCAGTGTTTAACTACGGTACCATCAAATAAAATTTAAAACAATCTAAAAAGTATTAAAAAGATAAAAATGTTTTAAAACTGATGCTTCAGTGAGTCGCCCTCTTTAAACATCGTCTGGTGCCGTCACTGAAGGAACATGAGGGTTTGCAGCAGGGGAATGTGGACAAACCRTTTTTTTCTCTTGACATACACACCTGCCCAGGTGCTTCCCAGTAAAGTGTGTGGACAGGTGGATAAACCAGAGGAAAGGTCCATTAGAAAACAAAACAAAACAAAAAAAACCCCAAAAAAAACAAAACAAAACAAAAACCCATTCCCATTGGTACCAAAGGTGCCTCAATAATTAACTTACGCAGTTTCCATTCAAATTGAAACAATTTACACTGAAGGTGGGTCTCTGCCCGGGTGGCGACTTGTCGATTGACAGGAAGGCGTCTGCAGAACCACTCGCTCAGGATTCCCTTCGAGTTAGAGGCACTCAGTCCTGGTGCTTGTGCAAAAGATTTCATCTCAAACTAGAGACAGGACACCTTAAACCAATCTGAATGTTCTAAATTAAACCCTAAACGTCGATGAATTGAGTTATTTTCTTATAATTTTGTGTCCCAGTCCAGAGAGACGCCACCTTCACTGGTTTGACAACTACCATTTGGTCATGTTTTCCCWCTAACAGCTCTATCCAACAAACAGAATACACAAAAACCTTCAGACATGGTGTCTCCGGCTGCAGCTCGTTGCTTCACCCACTCATGTTTCATGCTGCAGCTCTTCACTAATATTAGTGTTTCACAGTCATGTTTTCTGCAGCTGCAGCCTGGTTTGTTAAAAAACTCGTTTAAATCTGTTCCCTCTGATCTGGACTCTGCCTCGTCAGCGGACATCTTCTAAGTTTGAACTTTGCTCTGATATGATTTRTTCTGTTCAGGAAGGTGCTGCAGGTTCATTGATACTTTAGTGGCTAAATCTTAAAAACAGACCGGAGAAAGACGACAGCTACGCTTTAAAAGCTCTACTCACACGCACTAACCTGTAAAATCTGTTACAAATTCATCAAAACCATGTTTTTGACAGATCATAAGAAATGAGCTTGGGTCTGACCCTTTCAGAAACGGGCTGCATGTCCAACATTTAAACCTTCAAACTGAATGATTCAGTCAAACCTGCCAGCAGCATCAGATCCTCTGCTCTGCAGGTTTTATGGAACAAAACGACTCGTGTTTAACGGTTAGTGAAAACTGCAGACATGAAATGTTCCCACCTCTTTGTTCTTACATAAAAGCTGGTCTTATTGTAGAAAAAGCTTCAAAATATTTGATGCTAGGTTTGTTCTGCAGCAGAGACGAGCTGTAAATGTTCAAACACTCAAAGCTAAGAGATATACGTCGCCACAACAACATTAACACAAGCTTTTTGTTTGGATACAGCCCTTGGATGAAGCAACATGAGTGCAGAGCGGTTTGCTATCCGAGGGCAACAACAAAAAAATTAAAATAAAAAATAAAAACTGACCGTGTGGGTGATTTGTAAAAAGTGAGGTTCTGAACAGCAACACAAGACCCTGAGAGGAAGTCTGTGTTATGTACCTGGGTGGTTAGTTTACAGTCACTCGTTGTGCTTCTATGTGGCGTTGAACATGATCCTGGAACCCGCGAGCTGTCTAAAGGCACGTAGAGGACAGAGAACCAGCGGGCAGCTCTCACTGATCAAATGGTTTCTATGGCTTTATGGTTGTATAAAACGGCGGGGTGTGATTGTAACTGCTGCTCACGTGCGTCCCTCCTGTCCCTGTTTGACCGCTCTACACCGTGTCCTCGTCCATCTTGGCCACGTTGTCCAGCGTGATGGCGGCAGACTCGTCGTTTTCTGCCGCCTCAGACTTCTGTGGCGACGGAGCCTCCAGCATGGCGGTGCGCTCCTCTTTGGGCTCCTCCCGCTCCTTCCTCTCCTCTTCCTTCTTCTCCTGATCCAGCAGGCGGTAGTTGATGCCCATGCCCACGAAGAGGAAGATGCTGGCGATGATGAGGATGACTCCGCAGGTGATGTAGGTGTAGTTATAGTGCTTGTAGTAGTCGTAGAAGCTGCCTGGAGGAGCACAGAGCAGAGGCAGCTCAGTGATTATGGTCTCAAATGTTTTTTACTTTTCTTCTTTAATATTAGTGAGATGAAGCAGCTGTTAAATGTGTCTTTGTGTAAGATAAAAGCAGAGAACTTCTGCTTCTGAGATTTATTCTCTTTAAAACATTCAGTCTCACTAATTAAGAAATAAAGTGAACCAGATATAAATGCAGTAATTTTGGCATTTTCTTAAAAGGGGCAATATTATGCGTTTCTCAGGCATACATTTAAATTCTAAACCATTATAAAGTATCTATGTCACCTTCAGTTGTTATTATATGTTGTTTATATGTTTAAAGAGAAAATAAACATGACTTATCCGTTTCTAAACACCTTGAAATTGGCCTCCTTTTTAAGAACCTCCTTCCTCTTCTGTCCCCCCCCCATTTCAGCACGGGGCGGGGCAGGGTGTGTGTGTGTGTGTGTGATGAGGAAGCTCAGCTTGGAGACACAGCCCAGAGGAGGAGATGGTCCCAAAAGGCAGTTTTAGTCCCAACCAGTGGTTTTTGCTGCCCTGCCTGCTGCCTCAGGACACTACAGGATTTTCTCAAACATGCATGAATGAGTCAAAGTAAGACTCTGGGCATGTTTTTGATGAGAGGATAACATTAAAACATGATATAAAACTCAAGTTTATTCTACATGATATTGCCCCTTTAAATAAAAAAAAATTCCCTTCTTTTATAACCAAGTTTGACTTATTGTTTTCCTTTTAATTCATAAAACGACCTGACAACTCACATGTTGGCCTTAAGTTTTAGTTGAACAGAAATAACGTTAAGGCCAACATGTGAGTAATTAGGAGTTTTCATTTGTCACAAAACTTAAGTTTTAGTTGAACAGAAATAACGTTAAGCTTTGTGACAAATGAAAACTCCTAATTACTTTAAAAATGATATTCATTACTTTTCACTTAAGCACATCATTGTTATTGATTCAGTGCATTCTAATGGTGATAAAGGGCTGCAGTTGAGAAAAAAGTCGAGGCTAAGAAGCTATAATGTGTACATGTACATTTTGAATTAGTTTCTATGTTCTGCAATGTGTGTACATTTAGGTTGAAACAATCAAACATAAATGTGATAATTAGAAAATTAGCTCTGGAGCCACATATACATGAKCTCAGGAGCTAATGCTATTTCTATTAGTTCATAAGATAACACTATTCAAGTTACCTTTAAGGCTAATGTCAAATGTATTAGCATGGGGTTTAAAGCTATATTTACCAGCTCTGGAGCCCACTGGAAAGTGCTAGTTCCTGAGACATTATTACATCAGAAGCTAATGCTAAAGCCCCATATATACACATTATTTCAATTTACAAAAAACTTTATACCCAGAGGGGAAACTAAAAGAGTAACGGGGGCTGTTATTTCCCCATGGGATCAAAAAAAGCATTCATTCACATAGAGAATTAGCTCAGGAGCTAACAGGCTAAAATGAGGTTCTCCTTTCATGTAGCAGCTCTGTTGTCCATTTTCAGTGTCAGGTTGAGTCTTTTCTACATTCGGTCTGGTTTCCTTTAAAAGTTCTGATTGTCAGATAAAAGTAACCAAGCTGAATAGAGCTCACACTGGAGCACCTTTTACCCAGAATGACTTGCAGTGTAAATAACATGGTGACAAGATATTTTTAATTTATAAAAACYAACAGCCTGCAGTATTTGTACAGTCTGAGTTTTATAGGAGGTCAATGTTTAATAAGTTCTGTTACAACTACAGAATRTTACCGTGATCCTTCCACATTTTTTTACTTCAATTTCTAGATTTTCATCTTTCCATAGAACCTGATCTGTACTTGTGACAGAGCTCACTGTGTTTTATCACAAAGCAAACATGCCTCACATATTCTCACCTTGAGTTAGTAAATTATCTTAAAATAAATCAATACTGACCAATATTTAATGTTTCACTGCAGAAAGGACCAGAATCTGGAGTTAAACACTTTCAGACCCAAACCCTTCAACGTGTTGCATGCTGGGTATCTTACTTGTTAGCGGGGGGCCCAACAGGACCGGGCCACACTCCACAATGGTGACGAGACCCACGGCAGAAGAGAACCTCTGGGCTCCCACCAGGTCCATCAGGGTCTCGAACAACACGGCGCTCAGCCAGCCGAATGCAAAGCCGAAGAAGATGGCGTACACCACAAATCCTGTGAAGTCCTCTGAAAGGGGGGCCATGATGTGACACAGGCCATTGTAGAGGACAGAGGCTGCAAAGTAGTACTGCACTCGGGGGCGGACCCACTTAGTGTTGGCCAGAAATCCCATGGAGGGCCGGGCAAACATGTCGACAAACGCCAGARTTGACAGAAGGAGGGCGGCCTTCTCTTTGCTGATGCCTTTACTCTTGGCGTAACTGGAGAGGAAGATGAGTGGAGAAAACAGGCCGAAGAACATGACCACGTTGCCCATCAGGTAGAGCAGGAAGCCGCGGTGTTTGAAGAGCGTCAGGTCGATGAAGGAGTTGATGGTCTGTAGAACCGTCTTCTTGGGCTGCGGCTGCACGGCTTTGCCCTCTGCGGCCTCCGTGTCAGGCTTGGCCGGCTGAGGCTTGGGTCCGATGGGACGCATCAGAGCGCCGGCCACGCAGCAGTTGAACAGGAGGCCTCCCAGGATCAGGAAGCTGCCTCGCCAGCCGAACTCGTCATACAGCCACGTGTTGATGGGAGCCAGGGTGGACAGGAACACGGGGCTGCCTGCCATGGCGATGCCGTTGGCGATGGGCCGGCGTAAGAAGAAGTATTTACCGATCATGGTGAGGGCGGGGTTTAAGTTGAACGCTAAACCCAAACCTGAGGAGACAACATAAATATGGCTAACTTCTTCCACACAGTCTGCTACGAACACAAATGTTTGCAATGATTTAACGTGTCTAATAGTTATTTACTTTAAAAACTGTTGACTCATTATGTGATCTATGAAAGTAAAGCCTGTCYGGAGACTTTTGCCTCTGTTCTGACCCCACTGGTTTAGAGCATGGAGTGTGAAGAAGCGGGCCAAAATTCAAAACTTGATGAATATTTTAAAAAATGAAATTAGATAAACTATTCTTTTGGAAATACAAATGACCTTTTCCAAATTACATGATAAGTTTAGAACATGCATAATCTAATAGATAAAGAAAATGTGTAACATTTAGAAACAGTAGTATTAATTTATGCCTTACTCTACCAACATTTTGATTATATCTTAGAAAAAACATTTTATTCACCATCCAGAAAATTTAAAAAACCTCACTAAAATATTTAATTACTTCATTTAAATTATTTTTTTAATTACTTAATGTTAAAATAAGTAAAGAAAGTTGATTATGTTCTTTTCACACCCAAATCAACAACTACTGGATAATTCAAACCTAATTTTCTTAGAGTGAAAGGTTGTCCAGCTCTCATGAGAATGAACTAAATATTAAGACTGGGGTAAAAAAAAGTGCTAGCTGTAAAAAATATTGATTTTTTTAAGCAATCTTTTTACAGGCTGGTTAGGGATGTTTTGACCGAGCCATATTGTTATACATCCCTTCACATGTACAATGTTCAAATTTCATGCAGCTAGCACTTTCCTTTCTCAAATTATGACTAAAATTAATCTTAAAAAAAACGTGTTGCTTCCTGCCCGACTCAACCAAGCTACTCCACGCTGCCTCCAGCCTCCTCAAACCCCACCTCCCTCTGACCAATCACGTCTCTTGGGCTGTCTCAGCCAATATGAAGACCTCCGCCTATCTATTTGAGCTGTCTCTGCCCACAGGACATGTTCTGCAGAGRTCACTACTTGGCTGAAACAGGTCACCCAGTTTAATCCATTGTGCCTTACAGTCCCAAACAGATTTAAAAGAGGCAACTAACGAAAAAAATCTTAACAGCTGATATTTTGTTAATCTGCTTTAACACTAACTCTGGGTTTGTTGAGATCCAATGAGCCTCAACTGTGGAGTTTACAGAGTCAGAATCATAACTGTGCTCATACACAGGTCCTTCTCAAAAAATTAGCATATTGTGATAAAGTTCATTAATTTCTGTAATTTACTGATAAACACTAAACTTTCATATATCTTAGATTTATTGCACACCAACTGAAGTAGTTCAAGCCTTTTATTGTTTTAATATTGATGATTTTGGCAATAAAAGTAAAGAAAACTCAAAAATCCCTATCTAAAAAATTGCATATTTCTTCCAACCAATAAAAGAAAAGTGTTTTTAATACAAAAAAGTCAATCTTGAAATAATTATGTTCAGTTATGCACGCAATACTTGGTTGGGAATCATTTTGCAGAAATGAATTCTTCAATGCGGCGTGGCATGGAGGCAATCAGCCTGTGGCACTGCTGAGGTGTTAYGGAGGCCCAGGATGCTTCGATAGCGGCCTTAAGCTGCGTTCACACCGAACGCGATTTCAGCTTCAAAATCGCAGCCAACGCTGAAGTTGGTCGCTCGTGTACTTTGAGGT